CCCCAAAACCCCAAAACCCCAAAACCCCTCAATGCAGAAAATCATTTTAGAATTAATAAAATCAATTAAGGTAGAGGAAGTTAGAATACGTTTTAACTTTTATGAAATTAACAGATAAGATCAAATTTTAATTCATACTAAGATTATTCCATAATAAGGCAATCAATATAAGTTCTGTTGAATTGCTTCAACATTTCATAAATTTACGGGGTCATTTCACATCCAAGCAATCAATATTGTCTGAATACAAAGTTCAAAGCAAATCTAATCTCCTTTCCAAGGTTATTGCCAATCGGCTAGTAAAAGTTTGAGACTGCTTTTTCATCAGTAATAAGAGGTAGTTGACCACCTTAAATCAAGGCAGCTTGTTCAGCAATTGCTGTTGAAAGACCAATAACATTACTCATAAGATTTTGACTCATTTGAATAATAGAGCAATCATTCTTTGAGCAAAAAACTGAGATGTCATTAAGCATGTCATCAAATTCGCAATGTTAGATGAAATAATAGAGTAGATCTCTAGCACTTTAGAAGACTGTGTAGTTAAATAGAGTATTGTTAAGATAAGACATATACAAGAAGTACATATTGTCTATTGAATCACGATCCATGCATTTTGCATTTGCCATATAGCTGCTGGATTTATAGAGACCTCTGTAAACTCCGATCTGGATATTTTTAACAGCCCAACCAATGTATCTTGTCTAGTTATAATACAAATTTTTAGGAGCAGGTGGTCTGTTATCGACTACAACTGTAGTTGTGTTGGTTGTATTAACTTTTGTAGTATTAGTACTAGAGCTAGCATTTGTGGTTGAATTGGTTTTATTAGCAGTTGAATTTGATGTTGCATTTGCAGCTCTAGTAGCATTTGTCGCAGTGGTTGAAGTGTTTGCAGGTTTTACCTATTACTGTAAATGCAAGATATTCCTCAAAGTTGCGGAAGAGATTGGAGAGTTCTTAAATAGATTGAGCTTTTATAAGTCATTAGTTTGAATGAACCCAAAATAGCAAGTGAATACTGTGAGAAGTAGCAAAATGCTTATGCTTGGCTTAGTGTTTAGAAGTTTCATCAATCAAGTTGAAATTTTATCTTTTCTGATATATTAATTATAATAG